GGGTGCCTTTCCGTTGTGCCAAAACTGCGCCAAGACCAACGCCACTTGCATCAGTGTGAACTTCTGTGGCAGCAGTGGGGTTGTAGTGGCGAAGAATAGGTGGCGACGAAAGTAAGAGCAAAGACCAACGAAACTTCTTAGGGCTTTCAGTGATGTGGGCATTGGGAAGTCAGCGACAGCTCAAAGCTTATCGGGGTCCGGAAGAACACCGTCTCTTGTGATGACGTGTCCCAAGATGGTTAGTTTTCGGGCTGCGAAGTGGCACTTCTTGGTGTTAAGTTGTAGGCCTGCAGAAGCTAGACACGTCAGAATCTCGTGGAGACGACGAAGATGTGTCGGGAAATCAGCTGAAAAGACTACGATGTCATCTAGGTTACACAAGCAAGTTTTCCACTTGTGGACCCGCAATATGGTACCTATCATGCGCTCAAACGTCGCAGGCGCGTTGCAGAGCCCAAATAGCATGACTTTGAACTCATATAGGCCATCCGGCGTTACAAAGGCTGTTTTAGGGCGATCACATTCAGCCATTGGCACCTGCCAATACCCAGAACGCAGATCCAAGGATGTGAAGTACTCGGCGCCTTGTAAACAGTCAAGAGCATCGTCTATTCGTGGTAGCGGGTAGACGTCTTTTTTTTTGTAATCTTGTTTAAGCGGCGATAGTCCACGCGAAATCGAACGGTGCCATCTTTTTTCTTTACCAGAACTACGGGTGACGACCAAGTGCTTTGAGAAGGCTGTATGACTCCACGTTTAACCATGTCATCTACTTGCTCCGTAATGACGCGGCGCTCTTCGGCAGAAACGCGGTAAGGATGCTGTCGCAGAGGCGAATGTGAGCCGGTGTCAATAGCATGAGTGACAGTTGTGGTGCGGCCCAAAGCAGGTTTCTGAAAGTCGAAAGAAGAGCGAAACTTGTTAAGGAGAGCAACAAGTTGGCTGCGATGCGAGGGGGGAAGGTCTGCGTCAATAGCATTGTCGAAGGCTGGCGAGCTTGATGGCTCAGACGCTTGAGTGATTGCGGCAATGTGACATGGCGTTTTGTCGGGAAGAATAATATCATTGATATGGTCAACAGGTTGCACATATCCTAACGTTTCACCACGAAGCGAGTCAATGGGGTAGTTGCAGTGGTTGGTAACCAGCATTACGGTTAAACCAGACGCAATCGTAAGAACGGCAAATGGGAGCACGATGCCCTTGCGTTCAGTAAAAACAGGAGGTGGCGTAAACGCCGCCGTGGCGTTAGGTTGCGCCACACATGAAACGCTAATAGGAACTGAAGCTTCCGGAGGCAAGGTGATGTCGTCGTCAGCGATGAGTTTGCAGAGCAGTGGTGAATGGTCGGGCGATGGAAATTCACAACTTGGCACTAGGGACACTTCCCCACGGCAACAATCGATGATAGCTTCATGACCTGATAAGAAATCCCAACCCAGGATGAGGTCATGAGAGCAAGATGGTAGTACAAAAAATTGGACGATGTACAAAACGTCTTGGATGACGAAGCGCCGTACACACAGCCGAGGGCTGAATGCGTTGCGCGCTAGCCGTGGACAGCACGATGCCACAGAGAGATGTGGTCACTTTCATCAATTTGCGACAAAATTTTGCGTTCATCACAGAAACGGCGGCCCCAGTATCAATTAACGCTTGTGTGGAGACTCCCTCAACATTGACATCAACAACATTTTGCGGCGAAAATGGAGGCCTTGATAATTGCGCAGAAGTTGCAGTTCTTGTCTCTGGAACTGCACTGATTAGTTTCCCTCCTCAGGAGGTGGTCTACGACGCATAGGAGATGGTGATCGGCGACGAGGAGATGGGAAACGAGAAGTTGATGGGCGACAATCCGAGTCAGAGTGCCTCTGTTCGTATGCAGACGTGGTGGCCTGCTGCGACGCATAGGTAGGAGTTCCAAAGGAGGCGTACGCAGGTGTGGGACGGCGGCGGCAGTAGCGTGCAATGTGGCCAGCGATGCCACACGCGAAGCAGATAGGACGGTTGTCATGCGTGCGCTACTCATTAGATGGACGGACAAAGCGAGGTGAGGGCCTGTAAACCGGAGGCGCTGCCGGAGGAGGTGGAGCCGATAAGGATACTGGATGCGGTGGGGGCCGCGCAACCACAGCTGCGTAGCTGAGAGGTGAAGATGGTGCAGGGGATGCGTAGCTGACAGCTGAGAGATCAGATGCCGCTGAAGTGCATGCGTAAGGGGCCTGCACTGTAGGTAGGACGTCGCAAATTTCAGTGTGTATGGCCTGCTGCAGTGTCGAAGGCAGACTTGCGGTGGGCGCGTCGCTATGCGGCAGCAGGGAGAGCTGTCGGGCGACTTCCTCCCTGATGAAGTCTTTGATCTGGTTGGACAGACTTTCTTGGCGAACGTTGGCATTTGCGAGTGCGACAGCCGAGATCGAATCTGGTGGTGAGACACTCTGTCAGGCGATGGAACGCTGACGGCATAATTCATCGAAGCTCTGGCACAGGCTTACGAGGATTGCCACCAAGGTCGGGCTTTTCGCTAGCAACATCTGGAATGCACCATCCTCAATGCCCTTGAGAATCTGCCGAACTTTCTCTTCTTCGGGCATAGATGGGTTAACACGCCTGCAGAGGTCGAGCACATCCTCAATGTAACTCGTAAACGTTTCGCCAAGCTGCTGGGCTCTGTAGCGCAGACGCTGGTCGGCGCCGAGCTTGCGGACCTCTGGTCGGCCGAACGCTTCTGTTACGAGGGTCTTAAAGGAGGACCAGTTGGCGATGGCAGTTTCGCGGTTGGTAAACCAAAGCTTAGCTACGTCTGCCAAGTAAAAGATAACGTAGGCGGGTTTAGAGTCGTCGTCCCACTTGTTGCTGGCGCTTACGCGTTCGTACAAGGAGAGCCAGTCTTCGACGTCTTGCTCACCACTTTCGCTGAAGATTGGTGGGTTCCGCTGGCGAGTAGCGCCGGGGCAGGTAGACGGGGCAGCCGATGGTGCTGGCTGGGCTGGAACGGGCTGGTTGGCGACTGCGTCAGTCATGTTTGGCGGTAGTCTTTCAGGCAACTTGCGAGAGCGGAGCTCCAGGTCTGCTCGGGGATCTCAGCAGCCTCCACCAAACGTGATGACGTTTATTCGAGCAGAGAAGTCGCAACGAGGTCGCAACGGAAAGTGGGCGTACGGCAAGTCTGGCAAAGGCGGCACAAAACTCTCGCGCAAGCAGAGCACGGGCTTTTCATTGTCTTCCGAAGGCGCATACGCGTTGGTGCGTATGCTCCACTACACAGTCTTCTTTTTCTATATTGACAGCACCATAGACTTTTGACTCTGCAACTGCACTATATGCTTTGCTGTCACCGTCACTCAAGAATGTCATGAAATGCAGTGGGGTGTCATAAGTCAATGTTCTCTGCCAAATGCGCATTGCAGCCTCCGTTTCCATGGCATGGGAGGAACAGTCTGCATTTTTTTCACAGACTGGGCCATGGAATGCCTGCCACACTTCCTCGTCTGGGCCCATATCCTTGTGCCTACTGCATGTCAGGCAGTAATTTGATATGACCTCGAAGTCTAAGCAGAGGCCAGTATCTAAGGAGATAACTGCGCCAATCCCGTTGTGGCTTTTGTGGCCCCTCTTCTGCCAAGTGCCGTCGCACATAACAGCCACATCAGTTTCGCCTGCTACTTCTTTCGTCAACTCTCTGGATCGGCGCAAGTTTTCACTCACAGCTGCCATGGCAGCGGTGTGCACCTTCTTTGCTATCGAAAAAAATCCTTGGTGGTGCATCGGCTTTGGGAGTCCAATAATAGAGCAAAATCTCGACAATTGCTCATGCCCAATGCCGACAGCGCGTGCAGCCACCACCACCTTCACATTTACAGCGAAACTATCTCGGGAGCTCCCACTGTCGTACCGTTGGCTCACTCGGCTGCTGCCATCCGCCGTAACACGCAGTGACGCATAGGAGCACAAAAGAACGGTCGCTGAGCATTCACTGTTTTCGCAATGAAGCTCGAGAAGCGACGAAAGTCCCTTGCGCTTTTTTGCAGGCTCCCGAACGGCAAGTTTTTGAATACCGCAAGCAGGGTATGCCGCACCTGCCACAAGTGCCGTCAGCAAGAGGGTGTCGCACAAAACTCTCGTTGCGCAAACCTCATCGCGCTGTCTTTAGTCTTTTTCGAAGAAGCCGAGTTTCTTTTCCGAAGCACTGACGAAAGAAAACGCAGCGTCAATCCCTTCATCGCAGCCACTGTCGCTCGCGCACTCGTCGATGCCGCTGTCAGGTCTAGCACACGTAGGCGCGTTCTCGTTCGTCGCCGTCGTTCGGGGCGCTTTACGCCGCCTTTCCTTGAACTTGTGCTTCGTTCGAAACTTCTGTGGTCTCACGTTGCACTTTTTCGGGCTTGTCATCACGGAAATATGCGTAGACGCGCAGAAAAGCAGACAGACCAAATACCGATGGCCGCCACCAACACAGCTGAGAATGACTCGGTAGCCAATGGCGATGCGGCTTAGGGTGCCGCACATTTCAAACCGCTCAAACCATGTGATAAAAAGGCCTCGTTTTTTTTTTTTTACCCACGTACAAAACTGGCGGTCGTCGGAGCTGTAAGAAGAAGGCTGGATGCAACTGTCCCAACCGATCGCGATGGCGGGCGGCACTGCGACGGGGAGCAGCGCGCAGTCAAAGGTGGCCAATATCGGCGCAAATTCACGAAATTTTGAGCCACTGCGATGCCTTCATACACATTTTTTTTTTTTGCATTTTGCGGTTCGAATTTAGTTTTGAAATTTTCACAGATGAAAGAAGAAGGTTTGAAGATTACAATGCAATAAAAATGAGAAATACGATAAATTTCGCTAAAAACGCGATTTTTCGACTCACATCTCCCCTTAAAGCCATGTAGTGGGTGTATAGCAAATTTGAAAAGGTCTCATGCACTAAGTGTTTGAAGTGCGCCCTAGCAACAGTATATTGCTATCGCGTTGAACTCTTAAAGCTGAAGCTTTGGGATCTACTAATTTTTTTGTCTCTTTTTGTGCCTGCTAGAGAAAGAAAGTCCTGCCTTGTGCTGTTGGGTGTGGCTGACCGCAAGGTATTGCTGCAGACGTTCGAGCCGAGCTCTTGCCAACTGTAGTTCAGCCTCCTTCTCAGACAGCCGTGCATCCAGTAACTGATTCCGGGATGACGCCTGCGCCCAACATGCGCACGATGAGTTGTTTGGTAAACAGAGCATGCTACATGGAAAGTGCTAAAGATGGTTTGCACATTAGCAGCTTCAAAACATTTCGCAACAACAAACACTTTCACTGCTCTGAGAAACGCACAACAAACCCCTTCATCGCTGCTGCCCAACATGTGCAGTTTCACAATAAACCACAAATTTAAGCACCCAGACAGAAGGCATGCATGCAGGTGAAAAGCAGGGGCACATGGCACCAACAACATTATCTTCACAGGGACAAATTAACAACCAGTGAACACAAGGCGAGTGCCATGCACGATGCAGTGAAAACAGTGAACGGGAAACAAAATGTAAGTGATAATGCTCATGCATTCAATACGACTGATGGCTACTTGGTGAGCCATGATATTTTTATCAAGCAGTGCACAGAAGGATACGCATAAAGGATGCAAACACAAGCGATGTACTGCAACTAATGATTTATTTTCGAATGACCTGGCCTATGTACGAGAACACTTATATGGACACTGACAGCAGTGTCAACGATGAAGACTACAATAATAAAAATAATAATAATAATAATAATAATAGTTGCATTAAAAAACACATGGTGCTGTTAAGAAGTTGCAAAAGAAACAGTATGTGATTATATACCAAGGTTTCGGTGCACTTCCTTATAAAACTATGCCGAGGAGCAACTGACACTCTTATCTGCAAGAAAGCAGACGAAGCGTCCAGAGCAGACAAACTGCTGAGAGTGGCGCTAGACTTCACTTCAGCTTCGCTAGCTCTTGCTACCAACATCTGTACCATCCTCCACCACTGGTGGAGGTACAAAGCTTTGAAACCGAGTTTCATTCAGTAATGTTGGTTGTACTTGTACCCTTGCCAAAGTTTGGAACGCTGTCTCTGGTAACAGACGAGAGGCAAAGAGGTTGCTTGCAGTAAGCTTATATGACGGCCCTGCTTTCTTTTGCAGGTGGGAGTGCAGTCATGGATTATTTTTTATATTTTGCAGTCATTCTTTACTACCAAAAAAAATAGGCACAAAATCGGAATGTTGTAGAAAGTAGCACACACAGATGCAGTGACGTGAGTGGGAGAAGGTTTTTGAAACAGCCCAAAATTAGTGAGCCTGAAAAAGCATTTCGTAGCAGCTAAAAGTACATTAAAAAGCTCGAAAAAGGGCTTTCGTATCAGAAAAAAAAAAGATTTTGAAGCAACCAAAGGCGCATTGAAAGCAGGAAAATACGCTTTTGGGGTCGCTAAAGGGTCAATGTTAAGTAATATTAGGATTAGTGAGAAGTAAAACAGCTAAATAAATCACCAATAAACGGCATTCCATAAGGTTACATGTAATTACTCTGATAAATTTAGGTTAAATTATAATAATTTAGTTACGTTGGGATACTATATTATACACTAGACATTTATTTACACTATTTACAACTGCCAAGCAGCGCTATTCATTGGTAGTCGAAATGTCTCTCGTCACTGCCTGTAAAGCCACCGAGTCCCCACACATCATTCTTTCTTCCTGTATTATTACCAGCCCCGTCAAGTCTAGCAAAGGTCAGTCTGGTCCGGCAAGTGGAGAGTCATCCTGTTCTGTGAACATAAACACAAGAGTCCTTGTCAGCCGCCTTCTTCATGGGAATTGACAAGTGTCGGTCAGATACTAGCGACGGTTCAGGCAAAAATGTGAAGATCTTTAACATGTGCAGCTTTCACTACTTACAGCCTGACCATTATCAACATATTTGCACAGCACAAGAAAATTAGCAGTCACAGAACCTACGGAAAAGACACATGGACAGGGAAGAGAGCTGACTTCCATGTCTTGCTGCTATAGCGGTGGTATCATTCACATGATATGTTGCAGAACTGATATGGTGTGATATGACTGCAGACAAGCGTGTTATGTAACAGCATGATTACATGCCACACTCATGATGTGCTCGCGGCCATTTCGCTAGCTTTGCATATACCAAATTTGGTATTACAGGACGTGAATGGATGATGAAGGTATGTGATAGGTACAAACATGATAATCATGACTACATGCCAAGCTCCTAATGCGCTCGCGGCCGTTTCGCTAGCTTCTCATGAACCAAATTCGGTATTACTGGACGTGAATGGATGACGAAGCTATGTTACTGGTGAAAACATGATAGTCATGAGATGCATGTCATGTCAAAAAATGACGACATGCTACCCTCATGATGCGGTCGCGGCCGTTTTGCTAGCTTCACATGTACCAAATCGATATTACGTGATGCGAACGGACGACAAAGGTAAATGACATGTCCAAACATGACGATCATAACATGCATGTCATGTAGGAACATGACTACGTCCCGCACTCAGGATGCGCTCGCCGCCATTCCGCTACCTTCACATATGCCAAAATTTGGTATTACGTCACGTGGATTGATGAAGAAGGTATGTGACTGGTGGAAACATGATACTCATGGGATGCGTGTCATGTAAGAACATTAATACATGCCACATTCAAAGCACCAATGCACTTCCAACGTGAGCCGGCGCACGTGCGTGCCGACGTTTGTTTTATGAAGTCACATCGGCGATGCCACGCCAGAAGCCGATATCCCCCTAGTAGAGATCAGTGGATCTTTCCACTGACCTTCATTGTGAATCTGCATGCCGTATACTCGCAGGCGCATGTAGCGCTGCGTTGCTTTGTTGCATGAGCATTTGAGCGCACACGGCGTCCCTCCGTCACGAAAAGAGGCAGACGCGGTGCTAAGTAACGTCATCGGTGCGAAATGCAGCATCTCGCATTTCACGCCGGTTGCCACCAGGCCGCGCCGTTGGACGCTGGTCAAACTGGTCGCGCCTGGCGTTGCACTATAGAGTGCTCCCGTTTTGCTAGCGTGGCGTCGCTGCACCCAGCCTGCACTTGCGTCAACGTTGCGTTAGAGTATATTGAGCCTTTCATGACGCACTTGCTGCCGTTACGCTAGCTCCACATCTACTAAATTTGGTATCACGGGAAGTGAATAGATGACGAAGGTAAATGGCACGCCCAAACCTGATAATCATAATATGCGTTTCATGTAAAACATGGCTTCATGCTACGCTCATAGTGTTCCCGCGCTCGTTTCACTAATTCCACATATACCAAATTTGGTATTACCTGACGTGAATAGACAATGAATGTAAATGACACGTCCAAATATGATAATCATGATAAGGATTGCATGTAAAACATGACTACATGCTACGCTGATAGTACGCTCGCGGCCCTCTTTCGCTAGCTCCATATATACCAAAGTTGGTATCAGGTGACGTTAACAAATGACGACGGTAAATGAAACGTCCAAACATCATAATCATCACATAGAAGTCATGTACGGCATAATTTACCTCTGCCTCTTAATGTTGCGCTGATTTCAAAGTAACCTATCACCCTTAAAAATTCGTGCTTCGCATATCATCAATTTCCACTTTACGTGGGAGCTGCAATTTGTTATCAAGCTGAGCCAAATACAGTCGTACCCTGCGATAACGAAACGCCGCAAGTACGAAATCCCCGCGGCAACGAAATATTTCGGGATCCCTGGAGAACGTTCATAGAAGCCCATGTATTACGTATCTCGTGGCAACGAAATGTTTTTGGACAGGGATCCCACATTAACGAATTTTCCACCACGGTGCGGGCCTTATTTTACCCTCCTGCCAAAAGTTAGCTGTCGAAAATATGCTCGTATGCGTGTTATGTGCACTCAAAATTTGTAAACGTCTGCTTTTGACGTGCTAGCGCGGGTACCGCCATTTTTGTTTACTTAAGGGGGACGCGGCTTTCGGATTGTGAAAAATTGCAAAAAAATAAATTTTTTGAGAATCAAGTTTTCAGTTTCTAGAACCCTTTTTCTATCTAATTCCAAAATATCTACACTGAAAAACACGCAGAAGTGCTTCGAAAAATTGATTTCACCCACCTAGGTAGCGAAACTTTTTCTGGAAATCACGAGAAAACAGCGATTTAAAAAAATTATGGCTTCACGATGGCGGGGCAGGGAGCCGGCTTCTTGGGCTGATTGGAAAGAGCATTTCTCCGCGTTTCGCTTTCCTCGCCTCAGCTGGCTCCTCCCTTTAAAAACAAGCGCACAAACAGCAAATGTTTGAAGGTCGTTTCGATGCGCTTGATTGGCTGTGACGGTCATGTTGCCTCAGCTTGCCTCGCCATTGGCCCGATGCTCGCTCTGAGAGATCGTCGTCTGCTGCTTGTGCGTAGCGAGAACATGGCTCTCGAAAATTGCTACTTTGTGACGTGTTCACGGCTCGATGATCATTTAGGATATAATTACGCTTTCGTTAGGAGCAGTAGGCGGATGCGCGATCAGGTTACTACGAGCGCGGCGCATCATCAGAGTCGTCTTTAGCCCTCACTCCGCCGACAGCAAGACTGCGGGCAGGAACAACGCGCTAGTGCACTTGTGGCGACGTAAGCGGCGACACGATCAGATTGCTACGAGTTGCCACACCGGATGCACGATCAGATTACTACGAGCGGCGCGCGGTCTACGAGCGCAGCGCGTCATCGGAGTCGGCTTTAGCCTTAACTCCGCTGACAGTGAGAATGCGGGCAGAAACGATGCGCTAGCGCATCCAAAACAACCTGCGGGTTGTTTTGGATACACTGGACACCCTTCGCTCCTTCTTCGGCGCACATGACGATGACGTAGCAATAGACCGCTGTTTCCAGTGCGAAGGGAGAGCTTTGAAGTTGTTGCATGGCAAGGGTTGGCAAAGTAAGTTGACCGACTTCTGGCAATAAATTTTCGTTCTGCTGGCCGTATCACTGTTTTTATGTCTGATACTCATGGCTACGAAATTTTTACGAAAACGAAATTTTTCGGTTTCTCCGGTGATTTCATTATTGCCGGTTTGGACTGTAGATACTTTTCTTGTTCCTTTCCTCCCCATAGTAAGTATACTCTATTCAGTGCTTTCAAGCAACATATATTTGAGCATACTTGGCATGTTGGTTTTTACAAACACTTTCGATAAAACAAATAAATAATCATGGTTCCTTCAAGTTGGTCTTGAAGGGAGTCTACACCATTTTTAAAATGTTACTGTAGAAGAGTAACATCGTACCCTCATAACACTTCAGCTGTCCCGCCAATGGCCAGAGTGAACGTGCTGTTCTCACCTTGAGCCGCTCCAACTGCTGTGCCTGCAGCTCTAGTTGTCGCCTACTCTCTTCCAGCTGGTCTTGCAGGGAGGAGCGCTCCAGCTGCACCGTCTGCAGCTCCAGGCGCAACCGTGAGGCCTCTTCCAGCTGCTGGCATGTCTGCTGGTGCAGCTCCACATTCTCTGCACAGTCCAGCACAAAAGGCCACTCACCGCAGGGCACAGGTGGCTGCTGGCCATTATAGTCCACCAGCCTGACTACACTGACTGAGGGGCAAAGACCAATCAACCGGGTCCTGTGCTTGCGGCGGCTTCATGCCCCTGCAAGTTTCTTAATCTCATCTGCCCACTTCAGAATTGTGCACTAGAACAGAGAGTGGGTCCACTTGAGCAGGCAGGAAGCAGCCAGAGCGAAGCAAAATACACTGCAAATTTGTGGTCGTGCTGCAGCCACCTTCACTCAAAGCTTCCATCAGCTCTGGTGGTGTAGTAGGGCAGCGGCCATGGTGGAGCCAGTGATGGGGGCTCTGGCAAGATAGTGGCATATTGCTTTAGCACAGCTCAGTTCGAGCAGGAAGAAAAACAGAGATAGACAAGCAATACAATGAGCGTTACCTTCGCTTTTTCACTGCTGCCCATATTTATTTTTACTCAAACTGAGCAGTGCCCTGAGTTATTCCAAACAGCGCAGCAACTGTGCTGAGTGGTCTCTTCTGTATCCTGTCTCTGCACTGTTTGGAACAACTATGTGTACGTAGTTGTTACATCAACAAGCCCGCCTAAAGGAGAACTCCATCGATTTCTTGATAATTACCGATTTCAATAAAACTTTGTACATGTGTTCTCATTGATACATCTTGTGATGTGTGCAAAATTATACAACCGTAAGTCACTCAGTATTTTTGAAAACCAATACCAGGCAGATACAGTGCACGCTTTCTTCTACAAGGCGACGGTGATGCGAGCACAGTTCAATTTTGTCAGCTGCATACAGTGTGTAGTCATTGACATTGGGTGCATGCACAATATTGCTACGTGCATGCATTAGGCATATTATTATTATGGGCGGCAACGCACATGTGTGCCTCATGAGGAAGACGAAGGATTGTCTCTGCTCGATTGCTGGTGAACCGGTCACGCCATTACTATCGGTTTTAAATACATCTCATCCACAGCCTCGTCAATACGTCTTAATAACATATTTGGTGGAGGTGGAAAGTTCCCGTCCTCACGACGAAGCTTCGCAATGGCCGCACCGTTCAGTCTCCGGTCATGGCTACCAATGACAACAACCCGTCAGCTTCTCCATCTGTAGCTTCAGCCACTACATACCTGCCCTACATCCGTGATCCCTGTACATTTTCCACACAATCTGGGCTTTACGTTGACTACTGGCTCTGTATGTACGAGCGTGTTAGCCAGACACACTGATGGGACCCTACCATGATACCCGCCAACGTAATATTTTACTTGGACGGCACCCCATGTATTTGTTTTGACGCCTATGAGACCGAGATCACCAGCTGGGATATCTTCGAGGAGTGACTATGCGACATCTTTGGAGACCCGTCCGGTCGCCAAATGGAAGCGCGAAAAGAACTCGCCACTCGTGTGCAGTCCTCAACTGAGTCGCATGTCTCGTACATACAGGACGTGCTCGCGTTGTGCCAGAAAGTCGACGAGCAAATGACAGAGAGTGACAAGGTGGGTCACATACTCAAGGGCATCGGGGACGACGGCTTCAACTTGCTCGTGTACACTAATGTCACGACCGTCGATATGATTATTAAAGAATGCCGCCGCTTCGAAATGGCTAAGTGACGCCGTGTCCTGCCTCAATTTACGCGGCTACCAAACACGGCCGTTACATCCACCTGCACCGATCTCGGTGTCACACCACCCATGCAGGACAGCGTGACCCGAATAGTTCGACGGGAGCTTGAGGCGTGAAGTCCGGCACCACTTCCTCCACATCCACTAGACCATGTCGCTGCACAAATGCCTCCGGCGGTCTCCGTCATTCAAGCCGTCATGAGGCATGACATTGCAAAGCTCGATTTTCTTGTGGCTTGCTCTGTCTCCCGACCTGTCTCCAGACCAATGACGACAAATGCACCACGTCACATTTTCTTCCGCGATCCCGCAATCCGGCGGAATGGAGAACTGAAGACGACAAGCCGGTCTGCTTCCGTTGCCACCGAGTTGGCCATATCTCCCGCTACTGCCGCAGCACTTAGACGCCCTCGAACTGGAGCCATTTTGCCTCTTCTCACCCATACGAGGACTCCCATCGGTATTCGCCCAGTCAAGTGTACCCTTTTTTAGACGTCCCTAACAGCCGCTCCTCCGCTCGTCCGCCGTCACCTCAACGCCGCCGTTTCCCATCGCCCCAACCACGCCGCTATCCGTCGCTGGTCAACTATGGATCCTCTCGGACAGAAAACTAGATAATGCAGCTCCAGGAGGTAGTGGTGCATCACTTGCGACTGATCCAAATCCTCCGTTGACGCTTCTCACTAATACTAACTTGATTGAGGCGTATGTGGGCGGTATTTCTTTGACAACGTTAGTTGATACCGGAGCTCAAGTGTCCATAATGAGTGCTCATCTGTGTCGCCTGCTCAAAAAAGTCCTCACGCCTGCAGCAACTAAAGCCCACCGTGTCGCTGATGATGAAACTGTGGCAATCACTGGAATGTGTACCGCTCGTGTAAGTATTGCCGGCCGCTATGTCCCCGTTTTATTTACGGTGCTTGATTTACGGTGCTATTTACGCACAGTCAGAAGATACGTTGCGGCTTGTGAGAAATGTCGGCGCCGCAAAACGCCATCAACACTTCCCACCGGACGCCTTCAACCACTTGACATTCCGTCAGAACCGTTCTTCCGCGTTGGCTTGGACCTGCTTGGCCCTTTCCCCTTGTCTTCCTCGGGTAACAAGTGGATAGCTGTGGCGACCGACTACGCCACGCGTTATGCCATCACACGAGTTCTTCCAAGAAGCTGCGCCACAGACGTCGCCAACTTCCTGCTCAAGGACATGATTTTGCAACACGGAGCCCCACGGCAGCTGCTTACAGACCGTGGCCGCGCTTTTTTGTCGAAGGCCATAGCCGACATTTTGCAGTCCTGTGAAACGAGGCAGAAGCAGACTACGTCGTAGTCTAAATTGAACTCTTACAGGCATGCTCGCTAAATATGTTTACACCAACCAGACAGACTGGGATCTTGCGTTGCTGTACGTCACATTTGCCTACAATTCTTCGCACCCTGACACTGCCGATTACTCTCCATTTTTCCTGCTGTTTGGCCGAAAACCAACATTGCCTCTAGACACCGTCATCCCATTCCCTGCAGTACCGACCAGTGAATATGCCATGGACACTATCACTCGGGCCGCTCACGCACGCGAAATCATCCGTACTCGCCTTCTGACCTCAAGAGAAGCAACGGCGTTAGCATGATTAACGACACCGCGACGTACACTTTTCGCCCGGTTCTTTGGTCCAGCTCTGGTCTCCGACCCGTCGAGTTGGCTTGTCAGAAAAAATGCTTACTAACTACACAGGTCGATACTGAGTCCTTCATGTGGTTACTCCTGTGACATATAAAATTGGTCCGGTCGCCCCGTCGCCTTCATGTGCCCCACAGGCTCTGTATATTGTACATATTGCGCACTTGAAGCCCTACATCTTTCCCAGTGACATTAACATTCAGATGCGCCGAGGCGGCGCTTTTGCCGCCGTGGATTTTGCTACATGCATGCATTATGCATTATACATGCATTCAGCATATGCAGGTGGGCTCGGTGGCTGTGCCGCGACATGGTCTAGCCCACCTCTGTTCATAATGCAGGATTTCGTTTGCGCTATCTCCTGCGTACTGGTCCCTGCTCTTCTGGGCCCAGTATCAGCCGTCCACGTGATCAACCCTTTCCCGGCAAGCCTTGTCACCGTGGACGACCAGTGCCTCCTTTCTGCGTTGGACACCGCAGTTTCTACGGCGCTGGAACCTGCAAACTGGATGCTCGAAAGGGAAATCAAGGCCACACCGTCATCGACTTCATCAGGCGCACTGTGTATAAATCGTCCCTCCCAGCCCGGCGCGCTCTGTGGGCTCGGTGGCTGTGCCGCGACATGGTCTAACCCACTTCTGTTCATCATGCAGGTCAGTAACCAGAATTGCCTTTTCGCTAAAAAATCCAGCAATCGATGCCTTATTCAGCTACCGAGCCCCCCGTGCTGTATTTGCATCGTGTCTGATTATGTGAACACTGTTTTTTCACTGCTGCTGATGTTATCTGGTAACATCGAAACTAACTCTGGACCCCCAACCCTAGAAGACATTCTCAATGAACTCAAAAGCTTATCTTCCGGTCAAGCCCAGCTTATTGGTGACATGCAGAGCCTAAAATGCCAGCTCTCTAACACCAATAAAGCAATCTCTGCGCTAGGCAAAAGAATCGACAACTTAGAATCGCACTACCATCAGGTTGAAACACTACAAATGGAATTAGACACCATAACAACCATCACCTCCCAAACTGCTAACCAGGTCTCGGTACTGGAGACTCAACTGGGCGACGCTGAGAACCATTCCTGACGGAAAAACTTGTTGTTTTACGGAATAGCCAACGTCACGCCATCCGAGAACTACGTACAGTCTGAGCAGCTAGTCACTGCGTTCTGCAGGGACCACTTCAAAATATCTATTGAATCAAAGAAAATTGAGCGTGCCCACCGTCTTGGTCGCGACTCTCCAGACCGGTGTCGGCCCATAATAGCGAAATTCACCTCTTTCAAAACCAAGCAAACTATCCTTGGTAATGGACCTAAACTTAAAGATACTAAATTCAGCGTTAGGGAAGATTTCTCGCCACTAGTCTGGAACGCACGGAAGCACCTTCTCGCCTTTGTTAAAGAAAAATCCGGCTCTTTCCTTCTATGGTACAAAACTTTGTTTATGGGCTCTAATCACTACGTGTTCAACGATACTACCGGAAATGTCGAAGAAAAATCGTAGCAACCCCCTTCTGACCCCAGGTCGTCAAATCGTTCTGTTCTTGGTCTCAAAGCCAACCTCGGTTTTATTCACTAACATTGGCAGTTTTCTTGCCAAACGCGACCATGTGTGTAACCTTGCATCTTTATCCAGTAGCAGTTTGCTTATACTAACCGAAACAT